AGTTTTTAGGGTAATATGAGTACATATTAATTATCTAATTTGCATAATTAATTAATTTTCAGCTTTTGATATATCAAGTAGTAATCATCATATTTCAATGAGACTTGCTACATAGATCTTCTAGGATTATGCAGAGACCTAATTAGTTTTAATTGGATATTAATTACCTAATTTGCATAATGTTCCACTGATATATAAAGAACCACAAATTGGATTTTAATGAAACTTTTAAAGAGAACTATGCAGAAACCCAATTAGTTTTTGGTAAATATTTATGCTTATTAATCTCCTAATTAACATAATTAATTAACACTGATATCTCAATTACTGATCATCACATTTGAATAAAATTTGGTACATAAATGCTCTAGGACAATAGACAGGCCTGATTAATTTTGGGTTAAAATTTGTTCATATTAATTCTCTAATTAGCATAATAATTCATAATTTTTTTGTTCTGTTCTGTTCATATTAGTTACCTGATGTACATAATTAGTTTTCAGCTTTTCTATCAATATCTCATGTACAAGTAATTTTGAATTAATTTTTAATGTGTCTTCAATACTCTCAGCACACGGGAGTTCTTTCTAAGCTTTCTTTGATTATTGTCTGCATATTGCCATTAATTGTTTCTTGCGTCATTACATCAGTTCTATTCTTAGTAAGATTTGGTAAATGTGACAAATACTATTGAGAATAGTACAAGGAACAGCAATGTGGCCTTAAGTATGTAAACAGCAACTTTGTGAATTCAATAGACCATTTTCTGTTCTCTAATAGATCCCACGTTATGCATGAAATTGAACATGAAACAGGACAAACAAAGGTCAAATTTTTGCATGAGATTCGACAACTGCGAAACTATTTTTCTGGCATTTCCATGCTTAATAATTTTCTATATATAATGGTATTCAAGCTAAAAATCAAAACAACCGATTTTTGCAGCCGACGTTTGTTCCACGCCTTTCACGCATTATGCAAGATTGCGCAGTGAACGAAAAATCACCTATTGGTCAGTTGCAGGCAGTGTTGTCACTTCTAGTGAACGTTTTCTTTTATGGGTACGATTCCCATAATATGTTTACTCTCAGTAGAAATACAATCAACATATTGTACCTTTAAATGCATTCTGGTATGTGCATGGTGACTGTTGATAATGCGTCAGAGAAAATAACAATGTTCTCTGTCGTATAGAACATATTTCATGTGTAAAACGTAAAGTCACGTAATAACTAAATCGTCACTATGCATTGTAAAATAGATAATTGTAAATATTATAATTATAAGTTAAATTGAGTTTCCTTTTTTATATAAACTTTGTTACAATGTTTCTAAAATTTTGGTTGTTGTATTTGTGCAATACTATGGTAGTATCCTGTCTGTCCAGGAAATTAAAACGTACATACCTAGATAGAATCAGTAACCTAGATAATTTAATCTAGATAATAAGTATAAGTATAAGATCAGTCAAATCATATTTTTTGAATTAGAGTTGCACTCTGAGATTATTCCTATAGCATGTATGGAGTTTTATGACTATTGTGTGGGATATTGAATGGTCTGAATAAATACAATTTCTGGGGAATTTTCGAGCATTCACCAGGATTTGCTCTTCTTCCAACAACTTTTGCCAACAGTCATGCTGAATATCATTATAATTTTAACATATGCATATTTCCCATATTTTTTGCATATTTCCCAACAATCAACTATTTCTCAGAATAGCCTCCAGTTTCCTATGAAACTAATAGAAATGATCTCAGAGTGAACATAATTAGTCTAGACTCCAACTATATTCAATTAAAAATGGCTGCCACAATATTGTGTAATATCCCAGTCTGTTTCTTGTCCACTCTGTAGCTGAATTAATTACCTGCTATGAGAAATCTCAATTTTTTACCCTGCAGGTAATTTGTCAGGCGTGTGTATCGAACACATACTTATAATTAGTATGGAAATTGTAAGCACTCATGAGTAAATTTAAAGCAGTGTTATCAATATTTGATTAGCTATGCATTACTCATTGTAAAAATGAATAGCATGTCAAACTCAGTTGGCCAGTAAGATGTACTTTATTATGATTATACAATGTTTCATTACTTCTTCATTTCTATTATCACATGCTACACATACCTTAACTCCTACTATATTCACATATGAATTGCACGTGCCACATACTACCTTAACTCCTACTATATTCACATATGAATTGCACATGCCACATACTACCTTAACTCCTACTATATTCATGTGTGAGTTGACATGCCACATACTACCTTAACTCCTACTATATTCACATATGAATTGCACATGCCACATACTACCTTAACTCCTACTATATTCATGTGTGAGTTGACATGCCACACACTACCTTAACTCCTATATTCATGTGTGAGTTGACATGCCACATACTACCTTAACTCCTATTATATTCATGTGTGAGTTGACATGCCACATACTATCTTAACTCTTACTATATTCACATATGAATTGCACATGCCAAATACTACCTTAACTCCTACTATATTCATGTGTGAGTTGACATGCCACATACTACCTTAACTCTACTATTTTCATGTGTGAGTTGACATACCACATACTACCTTAACTACTATATTCATGTGTGAGTTGACATGCCACATACTACCTTAACTCCTACTATATTCATGTGAGTTGACATGCCACATACTACCTTAACTCTACTATATTCATGTGTGAGTTGACATGCCACATACTACCTTAACTCTACTAGATTCATGTGAGTTGACATGCCACATACTACCTTAATATCTACTATATTCATGTGAGTTGACATGCCACATACTACCTTAACTCTACTATATTCATGTGAGTTGACATGCCACATACTACCTTAACTTCTACTATATTCATGTGAGTTGACATGCCACATACTATCTTAACTCTTACTATATTCACATATAAATTGCACATGCCACATACTACCTTAACTCCTACTATATTCACATATGAATTGCACATGCCACATACTACCTTAACTCCTATATTCATGTGTGAGTTGACATGCCACATACTACCTTAATGCCTACTATATTCATGTGTGAGTTGACATGCCACATACTACCTTAACTTCTACTATATTCATGTGAGTTGATATGCCACATACTACCTTAACGCCTACTATATTCATGTGTGAGTTGACATGCCACATACTACCTTAACTCTACTATATTCATGTGTGAGTTGACATGCCACATACTACCTTAACTTCTACTATATTCATGTGAGTTGACATGCCACATACTACCTTAACTCTACTATATTCATGTGTGAGTTGACATGCCACATACTACCTTAACTTCTACTATATTCATGTGTGTTGACATGCCACTTACCACCTTAACTCCTACAATATTCATGTGAGTTGACATG